TTATAAGTGGTCAGAAACTTGTAAATAACTCATGAAAGAATAAAGTTACATTGAAACCAAGCACACCATTGTTTTTCTTGTGACATTACCAATAAGTTTGATGTGTCACATGGCCCTCTTCTTATTGAGAAAACAAAAGTTGTATCCAAGATGGTAGACTTCTAAATGGCCACCATGGTCACCACCCATCTTGAGGAGTTTGCTCCCTCACATATACTAATGTGCCACAAACAGGACTTTAATATCACCAACCATTCCCATTTTATTACGGTGTATCCATATAAATGGCCCACCCTGTACATCAAATCCTAGGATTGGCTAATCTTGCTGATTTGATAGCTTTTTCAATTTCTCATAGCCACAAGACAGTTGCATTAAGTGTGGACACACTGGAATCAGCAGTTAACCTGACATGCATGAATGGTGGTGAATTTTTCTGCTTTACTAAAGGTCACAGATCAGTTAGTGTTCTCTGTTCTTTTAAAGCACATACAAAGAGAATAGGATAAAAAGAGCAGAAAACTGATTAGAATATATGCAATAAATATATATATCAGTTGATTTTAGCAGGTGATTTGAAAGACTGTCACAATGCAACATTTGTTTTGGACCAATTCTGTTTACATTATACGTGGTTTTCTTAGGCAGCTTTATCTGTCCATAATGTCAGATAACACACACCAAGTAGCTAAATTGCACTGTGAGGAATCTTGGAGTCATTTTTAATCAGGATATGTCCTTCAACGTGCATATTAAACAAATATGTAGGACTGCTTTCTTCCATTTGCATAACATCTCTAAAATTGGAATCATCCTGTCTCCGAGTAATGCTGAAAAACTAGTTCATGCATTTATTACTTCTAGGACTACTGTAATTCATTATTATCAGACTGTCCTAGAAACTAACTGCAGCAAGAGTACTGACAGGGACTAAAAAGAGAGAGCATATTTCTTCCATATCGACTTCTCTTCATAAAAGCATAAAAGAGGTGGCACTGGTATTTTTATGGCCAGTCACAACAGAGTGCCATATTTTATGAAGATGATCAGACGATACTATTAAAAAGCTAGTCTCAGATTCAGTGCTGCTTTGACTACAGTTCAGTCAAAGTACGGCCATGTGTGAGAGTAAGAGTGCAGTACGCTACATAAGTATTAAATCCTCGGTGTCATGGTTCTGGGTATCT